ATATAGTTTGTAGCCAGGCACTGTGGTGTACATCTATAATCCCAGAACTCTGAGCAGCTGAGGCAGGAGGATGACAAGTTAGAGCCCTGCCTGGACAACTTAGTGACTTAGCAGGACCTTATCTCCAAATATAAAAGAGGGCTGGGAATGTAGCCCAGTATGCAGTACATCACTGCCCCAAAAAGAAAAGGTTGTTTGCTTTACTATGTATTCTTAAATTAATTAAAGATGTTGTTGAATTTTTTTCATTTGCTTATCACTTATATTTATTAAATCTTTATGGTTATCATTTTTAAAATTTAATGTTTGTTTTCTCTTAACATACACCTATTTTTGCTAGGTTAAAAATCAACCCAGTGTTTTAAAAAAAATGGAAAATTGTAAAGGAGGTTGCTTCTATAATTTCATTTTAAAGGCCATTTCAAAACCAAATCACTTTATGGGGGCTGGAGATTTAGCTCAGTGGCACCATTCCTGCCTCACAAGATCAAAGTCCTGAGTTCGATCCCTGGTACTGGAAAAGAAAAAAAAAAAAAAGTACACGGAAAGAGTTCTTCAGTTGCAGTGTCCTGAGCCCTGCTGGGCTCCGAAGTGTAGGTACCACTTGGTGGAGAAAAAAGTAGGTGTCCTGTTCTCTTCTTACAGGGGCTCTCAGAAATAATGCGTGTATATGAAAGTAACTCAAGAGGCAGATTTTGATTTAATTTTCAGACTTTTGTTCGTACATAACCATGATGAGGGATTATTTGCAGGTCAGTCACAGAGGAAAGTCATTTTGAAATTACATTGTTTTGAGTTTATCTTTCTGCCACCAGGGGTCAGTCCTGCATCAAGACCTTCTCCAGGAACTCCTACCAGTCCCAGCAACCTCACCAGCAGCCTGAAAACACCTGCACCTGCCGCAACCACACCTCACAACCCTCTGGCAAATATCCTCTCGAAGGTGGAGATCACCCCTGAGAGTATTCTGTCTGCTCTTTCCAAAACTCAGACACAGTCAGCCCCTGCACTGCAAGGTAAACAGATTTGTGCCAGAGAGACTTGAATTATCTGTCTCTTGCTTAACCCAGAATTCCATTTCTGAGGAAGCCAAAGCCGTGAAATGTATAATGCAGTTAATTCAGTATTCTCTTTATATTTATGACCTATAACCGGGCATTAGAGAGTTACAAAGCATCAAAGCAAGGGCCAGGATTTAGCTCAGTGGCGCCGCAACAACAAGCACAAGATCCAGAGTTTGATCCCCGGTGACCGCCCCCCCCAAAAAATATATATATATATTCATATATCAAAGCACAAGGAAGCCAGGCACTGTGGTGCACACCTGTAATTCCAGCTCAGGCAGGAAGGTCACAAGTTCAGGGCCAGCCTGGGCTGTAGCCGCCCTGGAGAGTTACAGGTTCAAGGCATCCTGGGCAGCACAGCAAGACCCTGTCTCCAAAAAAACAACAAAAAAAAAAACTTGTAGGTTTGGTGAGAACAGTGACTACTAGGAATTAAACAGGAGGGGAAATTGTATAGCCAGGAAACTTTAAAAATGAAGCATGTTTTGTTTGTTTTTGTTTTTTTTTTTAAAGAAAAGATAACTGAAGTTAACAGTCCATTTTAGGGCATTAAATACTGATAGTAGGTGATTGGATAACAGTTAAAACCAGGCAGCCTCAAGCTGGACATGGAGACTCACGCCTATGATCCCAGTACTCCAGAGGCTGAGGCAGGAGGATCACTGCAAGTTCAAGATCAGCCTGGGCTACAGAGTAAGTTCAAGGCCAGCCTGAACCAGAGAGAGAGACCCTGTCTGCAAAACAAAACAAATTACCCCAGGGAGCCTTATTTAAAAGTACATCGCTTAAAAACATCACAAGAGTGATATGACCTTGAAATTCTTCAGATCTGAGCCAGGTGTGATGGTTCACACCTGAATCCTGGCTACTTGGGAGGCCAAGTCAGGAGGATCACAAAGCATGCGCCTAGCTGGGTGAAATCTGTATTCATTTATGACCAGAAATTAGATAAATTTTGCAAATATGATTGGGGTATTATTGAATTGGTAAGATCTTATATTAACCCCTTAAAATATTTTTAGAGCATTTTCTACAGAAAGTTTGCCTTAGTGAATTTTAGCCTTTGCCCCAAAGAATATTTTATCTGTGGTTAGGAGCAGGTTTTGTCCCTGAGTAAAACGGGTTAAATCTCATTTGTGTCAACTTCAAACTAATCAACAATCCTTAGATTTTTCCAAGCTATAAAATGGGAATTGTATGTTTTCTTGTGAAACGATCAGTGCCCTTATTGGTCTGCCTTTGTCTTGTCTTGTGGTACATGTTTGTGATTGCTACATTTTACAAACAAAACTGATGGTTGGAAGCATTGTTTCCCAAAAGGTGACACCAGTGTAGTAAATAAATTTCTGAAATTTATTCAAATAAGTTTCTGAAATTCTCATACCTGTCTTCTTCCTAAGAATAACAGTGTGCATTTGCGTGTCAGAGTCAGTTGTGGAGCCTGGAAAGGAAGGATGGGGTAGGGTGTCCATTTGCATTTAGAGAAGCATTTTCACAGATCAAAAGTTAAGAGATGCTGACTTGAACTGTTGTTTTAGGATTAGTTTGCTTCCTTTCTTTTTCTGCTTTGCCTTATTTAAACTGACTGATTCTGACATTAAAAAATCTCTGCCTTCCTGCTGCTTTTTAATTGTGCCATGCTGGACTTGTTTCTGGCTTGTACTGGAAACATTTCAATGATTAGTTCTCTGATTGATAAATAGGACCAACGTTTTCAGTGACATCTAGCCGTGGCTTGTTTGGTCTGGATTCCCTTTGGCTTTGTATTTTAAATAAAGTCTGTCTGGTTCCCACCAGAGTGAACTTGAATAACTAACAAGCCCACATTGTTTTTATCATAAGTAGGGAGTGCTTGTTAACCCCTGTAATCTCTGTTTCTACAGGCCTGTCATCTTTGCTTCAGAGTGTCACTGGGAACCAAGCCCCAGCCAGTGAAGCTACGTCCCAGAACACTTCCGCCTCCCCTGCCAATACCACAGTCTCTACTGTAAAAGGAAGAAATGTGCCCTCCAATACCCAGTCTTTTATTCCCAAAAGCTTCAACTATTCTCCTAATTCATCAACTTCTGAAGTCTCTTCAACTTCAGCCATCAAGGCATCAATAGGGCAAAGCCCAGGGCTTCCAAGCACTACTTTTAAACTACCGTCCAACTCTCTGGGGTTTACTGGTACCCACAGTACTAGCCCTGCTGCCCCACCTACTGAAGTTGCCATGTGCCAATCTTCAGAGAGCTCCAAGCCAAAGCTGGAGTCTGAGTCCACCTCCCCAAGTCTGGAAATGAAGATACACAACTTCTTAAAAGGTAATCCTGGTTTCAGTGGCTTAAATTTAAACATCCCAATCCTGAGCAGTTTGGGATCCAGTGCCCCATCAGAGAGCCACCCCTCAGACTTCCAGCGTGGCCCTACTAGCACCTCAATCGACAACATTGACGGAACCCCGGTTCGGGATGAACGGAGTGGGACTCCCACCCAGGATGAGATGATGGACAAGCCCACATCAAGCAGTGTAGATACTGTGTCCCTGCTTTCTAAGATCATTAGCCCTGGTTCCTCGACACCCAGCAGTACAAGATCACCACCCCCTGGGAGAGATGAAAGCTATCCCCGGGAGCTCTCCAATTCCGTATCTACATATCGACCCTTTGGCCTGGGCAGTGAATCTCCCTATAAGCAGCCTTCTGATGGAATGGAGAGACCATCTTCCCTGATGGACTCTTCACAGGAAAAGTTCTATCCAGATACTTCTTTCCAAGAAGATGAGGATTATCGAGATTTTGAGTATTCAGGGCCTCCACCCTCTGCCATGATGAACCTAGAGAAGAAACCAGCCAAATCTATCCTGAAGTCAACCAAGCTTTCTGATGCCACCGAGTATCAGCCAATCCTGTCCAATTATAGCCACAGGGCCCAAGAATTTGGGGTAAAGTCTGCCTTTCCTCCATCTGTAAGGGCCCTCTTGGACTCTAGTGAGAACTGTGAGCGTCTCTCATCCTCCCCTGGGCTATTTGGTACCTTCAGCATAAGAGGGAATGATCCTGGGTCTGACCGGTCACCATCACCGAGTAAGAATGATTCATTTTTTGCCCCTGACTCCAACCACAATAGCTTGTCTCAGTCTACCACTGGGCACCTCAGTTTGCCACAGAAGCAGTACCCAGACTCTCCTCACCCAGTCCCACATCGTTCCCTTTTCTCTCCGCAGAATACCCTTGCTGCTCCCACGGGCCACCCACCCACATCAGGCGTGGAGAAAGTCCTGTCCTCCACCATTTCCACCACATCGACGATTGAGTTTAAGAATATGCTTAAAAACGCCTCACGCAAGCCCTCAGATGATAAGCATTTTGGCCAAACCCCCAACAAGGGCACTTCCGGTGATGGTATCAGTCTGACCAGCCTCGCCCAGCCCAGCCTGCCCACCTCTGATCAGCAGCAACAAGAAGAGCACTACCGCATAGAAACCCGCGTGTCTTCCTCCTGCCTAGACCTGCCTGATAGCACTGAAGAAAAGGGGGCCCCTATAGAAACTCTGGGTTATCGTAACGCAGCCAATAGGAGGATGTCAGGGGAGCCAATACAGACCGTAGAGTCCATCCGAGTTCCTGGGAAGGGAAATAGAGGACATGGGCGAGAGGCTTCAAGGGTGGGTTGGTTTGATCTGAGCACATCAGGCAGCTCTTTTGACAATGGACCCTCAAGTGCCTCTGAGTTGGCAACCCTTGGGGGTGGGGGCAGCGGAGGACTCACTGGCTTTAAAACACCCTACAAGGAACGGGCACCCCAGTTTCAGGAGAGTGTCGGCAGCTTTCGTTCCAACAGTTTCAACTCAACATTTGAGCACCATCTCACCCCGTCCCCCTTGGAACATGGGACACCCTTCCAGAGAGAGCCAGTGGGGCCGTCACCTGCCCCAGCTGCCCCTCCTAAGGATCATGGTGGTATTTTCTCTCGAGATGCACCTGCTCATCTGCCCTCTGTGGATCTCTCGAACCCTTTCACAAAGGAGGCAGCCCTGTCCCATGCTGCCCCACCGCCTCCTCCTGGAGAGCACAGCGGAGTTCCTTTCCCTGCCCCACCCCCTCCTCCGCCCCCTGGGGAACTTAGCAGCAGTGGTGGGAGTGGTGTCCCCTTTTCTACTCCACCGCCTCCACCCCCTGTTGACCACTCTGGAGTTGTACCCTTCCCTACCCCACCACTGGCAGAGCACGGAGTGGCAGGGACTGTGGCAGTATTTCCCAAGGACCATAGTTCCCTTCTTCAAGGGACCCTGGCTGAGCATTTTGGCATGCTCACGGGACCCAGGGACCATGGGGGCCCCCCGCAACGGGACCTCAACGGCCCTGGCCCTAGCCGTGTGCGCGAGAGCCTGAGCCTACCCTCCCACCCTCTGGAGCACCTGGGCCCAGCCCATGGCGGAGGAGTTGTGGGGGGCAGCAACAGCAGCAGTGGCCCCCCCTTGGGTCCCTCACACAGAGACACCATCAACCGAAGTGGTATGATTTTACGGAATCCCCGGCCAGACTTTCGGCCTAGGGAACCTTTTCTCAGCAGAGACCCATTCCACAGTTTAAAGAGACCCAGGCCACCTTTTGCTAGGGGCCCTCCGTTCTTTGCACCAAAACGCCCATTCTTCCCTCCCAGGTACTGATGGAAACCAAGGGAAAAGCATTTGGAACAGTTTAGAGAGCCTTGGAAGTAGGAGTTTGGTTTGTTGTTGTTTTTGTTTTCCCTCCCTTGCTTTATTTTTTATTATGGTAAGGGCCTTCCTCCCAAACTGAAAAGTTACACATGCCTCCATTTTACTATTCCATCAAGTCCTCCCTCCCACTGCACTTACTACCTTCCCTGAGTTGATGGTATTTGGGGGGAAGAAAAAAAACCCACAACCAAAGCCACTTCATATGGCTGGGGGCTTGGGGAGTGGGGAGGAAAACAATCTTTTTCCCATCTACTGAAGACTATTTACTACATTTGAAATAAAACTTCCATCAGTACAGATGATGACGTGCAATGTTGGGGTGTTATTTGGGGCTTGCCCACCCAGTAGTCAGCAGAAGGGTTCCTGTGTCCTCCCCTCTCAAGCTTAGTGACCACTGTACCCAGTGCAGCTCCCTCCTGGGCTCTGCACCGCTCTCAGGCGAAGGACAGGAAGCGCGCCAGCCTTGGGCTTGTCAGGCTTGCTTGGTTTCTGTTTTGTTTTTTTAAGGCATGTTGAAGTTTAGTTCTTTACCCTTCTCCTAACAGCTTAGTTTTTTAAAATCCACCTCTTTCTCCAAAGTACTATCCAGCAGTAACTTTGAGGCATTACAAACCTTATTCTTAGTAGAAATTTTTTCTCTTTGTTCTTGGAGTGAGAGAGAGGAGGCTAAATATAAATGCAGGGTAAAAATAAGGAGTGAGTACCATATATAAAGCTAGGAAAGGAATAGTTAGAGGTGTGGTATAACCTGGCTGGACTTTTAATCTAGAAAATAGGACACATTTTGAAATAGTTTTCCAAAAATCTTGTGCCATGCTCTTGCCTCTTGCTTTTTTTCCTGGGCTTTCTTTTTCTCCCTCAGTTTTTACTTTTGGCTGGAAAGAAAGTCAGTACAGTTGGCCATTGATACAAAGGTTCAACTGAAATATCTCTGCATCTCTTAATAAAAGAAATAGACATTAAAGTTACCATGATGCCTCCTTAATGTAATATTTATTGGTGGTTTTCAGCAAGGATTAACACTGAAGAGAAAGGAAACGTTTGTCTTTATCTTCTCCCCTCACCTCAGTCCTGTATGCACCCCTCTTCTTGGTATTTCAGGAGGAGACTCAGTAGTATGTTTATAGTGTACCTCTTCAACAGGTGGGCACTGCTGTGCTGGTCTTAGTCCTGAGAAATGAGGAAACTGGTAACTAGCTTGACCCCACTCCACAGGTAGCAAGCAGATTTCAAGGGACTAACCTTCTCCCCACCCCAACAGGAAGAAAAGAAGGTTTCTGCCCTCAAGTCATTTTGCGTGAGACCCTAAGTGCTTTCCGTCCCCCTGGACTAAAAGCTTGTTTATGTTTCCACATGTAGTACTTGGGAAAAGACAAGCACTGTACTTTATGTCTTTGGGTCTAGCGGCACTGAAAAGCAAATAACTGCTTACTACATTTCTTTAATTCAGTGTTTCACCCCACTGAATTATAAATCTCCAGCTAGATGAGTAAAACATCCTAGCAAGTTCATGTATTTTCTCCTAGTTTAGTATAGAACTAACTAGGGGAGTAAGGGAGAGGAATTCTAATAATGGGAGAGGCTGGATAATGTGACAAGACCATTCTTTGTCTCACAATAAACTTGCTTTTCAGAGAAAGCAGCTTAAGCCAGGTGTGCATCCTAGTTTGGGAGTTTTTTGTAAGGTATTTTACGTTGTTTGCTTGGGCTCACCCTGTGTTCTGTGATTAGGGTGTGATGAGTCATTCATCCCCCTAATGCTTACCTGGCCTTAAGCCAGCTGCTCCTCTCTTTGACCCTCTCAAGCCTCTGTCCTGCAGCTGTCCCTACAAAGATGCCTGGCGCCATGACCTTCATGTGGGACAGGACATACAGTATAGCGAAGCAAAGGAAATAGTTATGTATTGGTTCCTAAGACACAGGGAAAATAGAACAGGGCTGGGGTAGGGGATTCTATTTGACTTACAGAATTGATTCGAAAGTGAAGTGGCATGTTTTTCATTCTAGAATACAAGAATGTGAATTCTTTCTGCTGCTCTTGTTTAAGCTAAATGTAGTGTTTACTTGAAAAGGCTCTCTGACCTTTGATTTTATCAGAAATGTTGGGATGTCAGGAAAGTGGCTTCCTGAATATTGGGGCAGGGTGATTGTCCCCAAAACATGATGGCTGACACATGAAAGAAGTGTAGTTCAAAGGTGAACTTGTGGAATATTTTTGTTTTGTTTTTGCCACAGAATCCTCAGTGCATTTGTTTCAGGATGGAAGTGAGGACTTGTATGAGGCTGTTGGTTACTGATTTTAAAGAAATCTGTCTATAGTAAATGAAGAGGACAGTGTATATATGTGATATAGTGAAACAAGATAATTCTGGTATTCATAAACATGAAACAAAGAGGTTTTATTCTTCTGTGTCTGTGATTTAAAACTCTGTGACCATGCTCTGACTTTTGTATTTCAACCTGAGTTTAAAAAAAATAAACAAGATATTTTTTAAAGAAAGCATAGCATAGTGTGTCTTAGGAAGGACATGATTCATATGAAAGCAGAACATGAGCTATTATAAGGCCTTTGGTGCTCACTGTAAAATCACAGACAAAGAATCCTAGTGAACACACCAGTACCATTTAAAGTTAGTCATGCAGTATCAGAAATAGGGCCCTTACGTATTTTGTAAGAGTTCATTCTTAAGCCAGTGTAGATGAGAGCCCTCCCTGCTTCCCTCTGCCCTCCCAAGAGTTGAAGTAATGGTTTGATTTGAGAGGTGAGCAGAGAGTGGGACTTGTATCCTTTCCAATACCAGAACACTCTTTGTAATAATACATGGTACAGCAAACCTATCTAGATAATGTGAATATGCTAAACTTCCTAATTGCAGAGTATTCACTACCCTGAAGTTACCTGTTCATGCAGTTAAGCTTCAGCTGTTACTGTTTTAAGCCGCTGTAAATTACTGCTTCCCTTTCTCCCTCCTCCCTTTTTTAATCGGTGGGGGTGCCTGTTAAGAGTAAAATTAGATATGTTGGATTGGTATTTTCACGTGTTCAGTGTGGAAAACAAAACAAGTACATGCTTTAGAGCCAACAACGAAATCCTTTTGAAATGTGTGTTAATATCATTTAATAAAAATAACGAGTTCTAAAGGTTTGACATTTTTTTTTTTTTTTTGGAGACTGGGGCTTGGACCAAGGGCCCTCGGCTTCTCTAGTGAGTGCAAATAGGAGGGAACTTCTCCAGGAGCTGAAACTGCTGCTTTGTGGAGACCTGTGGTTGGGAAACCTAAATTTTCTCCAGCAAAGATCCAACATGACTGTCCGGGGCTGAAGGTGAAACCAACTACAGAATGCAGAGAGAAAAGCCTGGATCTGCCTACGAAGATGCAGCTGCGTTAGCTTTTGGTTTAAGGGTGTACGGGGAAGGGGCTGACAGTGGCACACACAGATGCCACCGGCCACTATCTCCTCCCTTTTCTTGTGACCACTTGCACTTTCCTCTCTTCCAGCCATTCCTTTATTAGAAAAAGCAACTCTTTGTCCCCGATGTTTTGTTTCCCAGTTAATAAAGTATGGTTTTCTTTGTTGTGTGGTTGACTCTTACCCTCGCACATTGATCTTGTCTAGCTGGCCACTTTGACTTCAGCACTTAATATCACTGAGAGCTGTCTGAGCCTCTAGGATCTTCGTGGCCTTACAGGTTTTCTGTTTGATCCTTTGTATAATTGTGTATTGGGTGGGGTGAGACCAAGATGTTCAGGGCAAGTGGTCGGCAGTGAAGTGGGGCATACTGTATAGATAATTATTCATGTGTCTTCTAAAAAATGTACGATTGTGAACCAAGAAGTATTTTTTAGAGGCAAGCACAGAACCAGAAGGCCAATTCTTTCCCTGTAAGTACCTTTCTTGGTGTATATAGGTACTCGATCATGCAGAAGCCACACTTAACCCTTCTCTCTTACCTCACCCCATCTCTTGTTCATAATCCAGTGAGGCTCAATAAATGGAATGTTGGCTTTAAGGGGAAAGAGGGATAGTCACTGCATCTGGGCCAGGCCTGGGTCATTGGCAGGGTAGAAGCCTCTAAACAGCAGCCTTGATTACGTAAAGCTATGTACATGTGTCATAAGACACTTTGGAAATAGCCTAAATACACCCAGCAGGTAGGGTGTGCCAGTGTACTGGCTGCTTCCGAATCTAGCTCATGCTTTCTTCCTTACTCTTCCTGGGACCTGGACTTAGCCACCTGATTCCTGTCTCTACCACGGAGGAAGCAACTGTATCTAGACCCTCGTTGACTTTCTAGGCATGTTACTGAGTATGCAGAGCTGCCTACCCCTGTGTTGTCTAAGCAGGGATGAGTTGAGTTACTGTCGCGAGCCGCTTGCCAGTAAGAAAGCATGTAATATTTAGGATCTTTTTGAAGTTTCTTTATTATCTTGGGAGAAGGTCTAAAGATCTTATAAAAAACCTTCCTTTATATATCCTGTTAACTATATTAACTTGACAGAAACAAGAAGTTATAAGATCACGACTATAGCACATTCCGATCACTATTAGGGGAATAAACTTTAGGTAGGGAGCAACCATAAAAGCAATGTCGCCATCCCAGAACAAACATCGTGATCAAGGATGACTTAAACAAAGAACTCCTGTAAATAAGCCACAATCCCAACACATCTCAGCAAACAGGAGACTGAAATTCCTCACGATGACTTGGCAGCCTGCAGTGTCTGCAGACCAAAGCACTCCACAAGTTACCTCCTCGAGTGTGTAGACTGGTAACAGCCTCGGGATGGGTCTTGGAGTGTTGGGGTGCTTCTCATATTTGAGTAGCTACACAGGTCTGATCAGCTGCTGTTCACAATTGCTGAGTAGTAACTCACTGCCGCTGCATGGAAGAGGCTACTGGAGGGCATCCGTTAGAAATCACTCAAGTAAACAAACATCCTGTTCTCAACCCCTGCCTAGGAGAGACATTCTTTAAGGAAAGGAGCATTCTGATATAAAAATACCAGATACTTTCCGTGCGGTGTGAGGACAGACGATGCTCAGTCACAAGTTGGAGGGGAAACTTAGAAGAAGGCTTAGATCTATTTAGAACTCATTACAGTTTCTTTAAGTTTGGTTTTTGTGTGTGTGTTGGGGCGTAAGCCTTGGTACATGCTAAGCACTCGCTCTACTACTGAGCTGCAAACATCCTTAGCGCCTCCATTTTTTGATTTCTACCTTTTAGTCTTTCCCTTTGTTCTCTTTAGAGTCAAGGCTGAGGTGACAAACACGGGATCTGGGAGGAAGAGCTAGTGACCTCTGCAGTGCCAACTGGGGAGCAAACAGACGGCAATTTTTTGTGTTTGACTCAAAAGGGTGTTGGCTAAACCAGTCTGCCCTGGGCCTGTTCAGGTTCACAGCACATTTTCCAGCAAATTTACTTCCTTATATCTATTGTAGCCCCTTATTTTAAAAAAATACTCAAGGCCTTTGCCAAAGAATTGTGGAAAAGAGCAGACTTGAAACTCTACATTCTCCTTCAGGTATTTCGGATGGAATGGATAGAAAGATTGACACCATCCAGGCCACTGGTTTCCAAGCTCCCTGGGTCTGGAGTCCTTTGCATCTGTGTGAGGCACCACTTAAGGTGGCCATCACTGCCAAGAGCAGAAGTTGGTACAGGTTTCATCTGAGTTTGGTTATGAGAAGTGGGCCTTAGTTGTGTATTTTCTTCTATAGTCTTATCTGGGACTTTCCTTGAGGGTACTTTGTCCTCTTTCACAGTGCTAAGTTGACATCTCCGCACTAGATCCTGCGTTTTAATTTATGTATTTCCCTCATGGCCTTGACCTGCCAAATTAGGGTTAGCAACTGGGGGTGTCTTGTTTCTCTTCTACAGACTCCAGAGATTTCTTGGGAAAGGGAAATCTTAATGGAGACTTCAGGTGAGCCCAAGGCTTTGTTTCTGAAGCCAGAGTTCAGTTTTTCTCCAGGAAGCTCTTCTCTGTTAACTCAACAGACTTGGCCAGGCTTTCTGTCATTTTGGCATCTTAAGGCAGAATCAGAAGCTTGACCCCATCCTAGACCTTCCAATTATATTACTAAGGAATCTTTTCCATAGGCCTAATATTGGTACTGCCTCCTGTCCCTTCAGCCACATGGCTAATTCTTTCGGCTTCAGAAAAATTCGGTGGCCTGAGTGTACCTCGGTGGTCGAGCACACACAGCAAGGCCTTAGGTTCCACCACAGGACTAGGGGGAAAAGGCATCAGGTGGCAATAACATAAACATATTTTACTTATTTCTCTCTTCCCCCCTCCAATGTCTTCTCCCTTTTTGGTGAAAGGAAAGGGCAGTTGTGCCTGAGCCAAGACAGATTTGGGGGCACGTGCTCATCCTGATAAATGGAAAATGTAATTTACCGTAAGTGGAGAGTATTCTTACGTGTAGTGGAAAGCTATAAAAACACTTCATCCACCAGGGCTTTAGCAAGCTTGAGTTATCTGTTCTAAAAGTGCAGTAAAGCTGAGAATATCCTAAACGTCGCCTAAAAGTCTAGGGTACTCTTATGATTCCCCATTCCCTATACTTCTCTGGAAAACTTAAGTGTTACTTCCTTCACACTTCTTTAACTTTAGTCTGGCACAGAAAAGTTGGAAGATACTTTTCTTGGTTTTTACTTGAATCACCTCTTCTTCACCCTGTTTAAAGGCCTTCTGACCACAAGTATCAGAGTCAAGAAAAAGGAAGCAGTGATGGTGCACTGTGACTAATGTGGACAGTGAGACCGCGTAAGTAACTCAGGATTCGGATTGGGATAGAATAGGACAGGACTTAAGTTCTCTGAGAATCATTTTCTATGTTTGAAGAGAAGTGTAAGAACACTACTGGACAAGCTGGGCGTGGTGGCACACACCTGTGTTCCCAGCACTGGGAGGCAGAGACAGAAGGATCACCATTAGGTTCGAGGCCAGCCTGTGCTCCATAGTGAGTTCAGGACCAGCCTGAACTACATAGTGAGACCCTGTCAAACAATACCAACAAAAAAAACCTGCTTGACAGTGAAAGCATAGCACTTGGCACACAGTAAGTGTCCGGGGTATTCTGACAAGCAAGAGTAGCATGTAGTAGCAACAAAAGCTCCAGACACAGATGTATGTCAGGCAGAGAGAGATAACTGAGTTAAAATTTCTGAGGCTGAGCCAGGCACACTGTCCCATACTTGTAATCCCAGGACTCAGGAGGGTGAGGCAGGAGAATTGCTGTGAGTTTGAGGCCAACCTGGACTACGTAATACAAGGCCCAAAATACATAGACCCTGTCTTTAAAAAAAATTCTGAGAGGGCTGAAGATTTAGCTCAATGGTTCCACCACCTGCCTTGAAAGTGCAAGATCCTGAGTTCAATCCCCGGTGCTCACAAAAAAAAAAAAAATCTGAGGCTGAGACACAGTAGAAGTTGTTGTAGAATGAATTCTTTTCTTCAGGGGGGCGGGGTTGAGACAGGGTCTCACTATGTAGTTGAGACTGACCTGGAGCTCACTAGCCCAGTCTGGTCTCCAACTCACAGTGATCCTCCTGCCTCAGCCTCCCAAGTGCCAGGGTTACAGGCGTGTGCCACCACGCCTGGCTTGTAGAATGAATTCTTAGTGAATCCGTCTTATCTGTCTTGTGCTTCTTGCTTGGTACGAGGGATGGGATGGAAAACTTGACATTCCTTCCTCCCAGTGCAACTCAAGATACACAGACGGTGATGTGGATCAATAGGCATCACCTCAGCACCCAGCTCAGTGCATTGCACACAGTGAGCAGCAGTAAATGTCTGAAGGGTGAGTGTAGGGAGCTGCCATCTCAGGCTGGCCTACTTACTCCACTATCTGTGATCCGAACCAAGACGGATCAGGTAGAACAAGTAAACTGCCGTGTGCTTTGCAGCGTCGATGCAGTGATTACTTGATAATTTATTGAGCATCCACCAGTCTGCTGTCCACAATATAAGCTACCCCTACCCCTTTTAGTGCAGGGCATCAGAAACAGTCCTGCCTGCCATTGTCACTTTTTCTCAAGCCATTTAAAAATGCTTACTAATCTCTTCTGACCACATACACAAACACAGGTAATCTCCAGTCTTGTCTTTCTCTTTGTATTTCAGGATGTCAAACATACCAGAAGATGGAGCCAAGATCCCATGACTCAGATCAACTGCCCTCAGAAACAACTTCCAGCCTCTCTGGAAACCTAAACTGAACAGCTCTCTCTGCCAGCTCTTCCTCCACAACCCTTGATTCCATCATCACAAACAAGAACCCCATCCCTATCCCCAAGTGAGGGAATTACCGAGAGCCTCACAGTTGCCCACAGTTCATTTCTCTTCATACTTTACTGCAAATCTAGCAGTGTTTGTATTTTTGCTGTGTAAAATTAATCATTAGCCCTGTAACTCAGATGTAATGAGGAAAGAAAAAGACAAAGAGGATGGCGGTTTAGCTCAGTGGTTCTGCCACCTGCCTCACAAGTACAAGGTCCCGAGTTTGAGCCTCGGTACCCCCCAAAAAAAAAAGTGGGGGGAAGAAAACTGAGGGCAGGGCTGGGGATTTGGCTCAGGGGTTCCGCCACCTGCCTTGCAAGTGCAAAAGGCCCGAGTTCGATCCCCGGTACCATTAAAAAAAAGAAGAAAGAAAACTGAGGCATCTTGTCTTCCGAGTGAGGGGGGGAATATACTGAAAGTAAACTATTACAGTACCAGAAAAAGCATGGTGTGGTGGACTCATGCAAGTCCTGGATTCAGAGGCCAGCATCAACATTCACTGTTTTGTTTTGTTGAGACAGGGTCTCGCTATGTAGTCCAGGTCTCAAATTCACAGCGATCCTCCTGCTTCAGCCTCTGGAGTGTTTAGGATGACAGAAGTGCAGCACTTAACTTTTTGACCTTAAAACACTTAGCATTTCTGACCTTAAATTCCACATCTATAAGATTAATCTCTGAAGTCCCTTTTTAAGCACCATGATTATGAACAAACTCCAAAAAAGTGACCTCTGCAGATTCGTTGCTCCAACTTTAAAACAGCCCTAGCTGTTTAGCCCATAGCTCATTACAAGCCATTACTCACTTATTATAATGGCTTGTTGCTGTTGTCATTATCATATACCAAGCACTATGCTGGACAATTTACATAAAGTTTACCTCAACTAGTAGGGGAAAGAAGGAGGGGAAAGGAAAAAATATGAGAAAAGCAAAAAATGGAAACGTCTTTGTAAATAGGGAGGGGTGGAGGGGGGGAAGGGAGGGCAGGGGAATGGGGGAAAATTTGAACCAAGATACATCATGTAAAGGTACAAGATCCCATTGATGAATGTAACTGTACTGTATACCTAAAATGTACCAATAAAAGGATTTAAGGGGGGAAAAAAGTTTACCTCAACTACTTTAGTGTTACTATTTTCGTTTTACAGATGAAAAAAATACAGGCTTAGAGAAGTTAAATAATTCACAAAAATTCATTAATGGCAGACCCAGGATTTACACTAGGTCCACCAGGTTCCAAAGTCTGCTCTTAGCAGTTTCCTACCTACCTGCTTTAAAGATTAGGTGTAAGATGCCAGAGATTTAGCTCAGTGTCGCTGCACCTGCCTCGCGAAGCTCAGGGTCCTAAGTTCGATCCCCGGTACCAAAAAAAAGGGGGGGATGTCTGACTACCACTTCCTGCCTGTTTTTCTGCCACTCTTGTCCTCAAGGGCTGTGCCTCTGGCTTCATGGCTGCCGGACACCTTGTACTACCCGGGACTCTCAGCTGAAAAGCGGCGGGCTTCCAGGTCGCAGTTGTGTGTAACAGTTTCCATCTTCCGGCCGGAACCACTCTAGCCGCTGCTCCTGCTGTAGAGCCGGGTGCTTCTTCGGAGTTCCTGGAGGTGGTACAGAACAGAGTGGCAGGTATGGTAACCAATAGTCAGGGACGTTGCTGGGGTAGCAGCCAATGAGGAATCTGGTAACGGAGAGGCGGTGATCATCTGAGGATGTAGGCGCTAGTTCGAAGGAAAATGCGGCTGTATCAGAGGTGGCGACCGTTCCTGCTCTTGCTTCGGCTTCCGGGGTTGCAAGCTTACAAGCTACGCACTTTGCATGAGGTACACAAAAGTTCCGAACCATCGGACCCAGCTCAAGCAAAGCCCAGGATGTAGACCCAGTACAGCCTCTCGCCATTCCACCCCTTCCCTGCACTCAGAGGTCGGGAGCCTGGAGGGAGCTCCTGAGAGAGAGAGTATCCATTAGGACCCCAGTCTAAGGCCTGTATCACCCAGCCGCCCTTAAAAACCAGCGATTAGGGCCAAGGTCTCTCAGATATCCACAGCTACCATCTTCAGCCTTGGAAAGAAAGGATGGGACCTGTGTTACCGCCTCACGTGTCTTTCCCCCCAGGCGTCCGTGCCGACCTCTCCTCCTTGGTTGGTGGAGCGGCTTGGCCTTTTTGAGGAGCTATGGGCCGCTCAGGTAACGAGGTTAGCGAGCACTGCACAGAAGGAAGCACGGACTATCAAGGTGTCCCTTCCTGGAGGCCAGAAAGTGGATGCCGTGGCGTGGAGCACAACCCCTTACCAGCTAGCTCGGCGGATGAGGTATCAGCCCTTACTTCTCTGCTGCTGGCCGTGGGGAGAGAAAACTTGGTCTGCTTGTTTTATTTCATCCCCAGCAAAATAGTTTTCCCTGAGAATTTATTTTATCTCCATTGGTTTGAGGGCCTGTCTTTCCCGTATTATCCATTGGACAAAGAAATAGGTTTTATTGTTCTGGAAGCTCATTTCTCCTTTACAAATGTAGAGTTACCGGGGGATTAGCTTTTAGTCGCCCGTGGGTTATAACCCTGACGTTTTCTTCATCCCCACCCGCCCACGGCTGAAGTTTAAATCTAGCAGATACTGCACTGGCTGCTGAAGTGAATGGAGAACTTTATGATCTGGAGCGGCCCCTGGAGACAGATTCTGATCTCAGATTTCTGACGTTTGAGTCCCCAGAGGGAAAAGCGGTAAGTTCCTTCCTTAGAGAGAGGATGTGACTAGTAAACTGAGAGATATTTAAGCAGGAAGTTCTAACCTTTCTTTTGCCTCAGTTTCTCCATTTGCTGTTGGGACTGAGACATACCATCTATTTCTGGAGGGAAATAGATAATAAAAATAAGCTGGAAAGTTATGACAGGTTTTGCTTAGCCTTGATCTTTTAAGCATAGATCATTTGTACTAGTGAAAGGGAGAGATAATAAGTTGAAAAACAGAAGTATAATGTGTAGTTCAACTTCCTCAGCTCTTGAGCACATACATTATAAATCATCCGTGGTGTATATTCAGTCGTAACATGGCTTCCGCAGCTGAGCACACAGCCTGGTCACCTCCCTACTTTGTGCTTTTGATGCCAGTTCAGGTAACACAAACTTTGACTATTAAGATCCAGAAAAAGGGATAGTGACCAAATCCTAGAAGAGCAGTTGCATCACACTAGATTCCTGAGCTAGAAAACAGTAGGACTAAAAGACCAGATGGAGGGGTTGGGGCGGTACCTCAGGGAAAAAGCACTAGCCTAGGATGTGCAAGGCCCTACCGAGGTTCATTCCCCAGGACCACCGAAGAAAACCAAAAATGAAGTTGGGTGTGGTGGCGCATGCCTATAATCCCAGCACTCGGGAGGCTGAGGCAGGAGGATCGCTGTGAGTTCGAGACCAGCCTGGGCTACATAGTAAGTTCCAGGTCAGTCTCAACTACACAGCAAGACCCTGTCTCAAAAAAAACCCCCCAAAAAACAAAAACACAAACGAGAGTCTACCTAGGAGCCCCAGTCAGGTGTGGGAGCAGCGAAAGAAGACTGACCTCCTGCTTCTGTGCTCCAGGACTGGGAAGCACCAAGGACTGAGGGGGTTGCCATAGCTTCTGTTCAATGAAAGAAGAAAGGACCCTGCCCTTGGCTTCTTTTTCTATTGTCTTTAGAAAAATTTTTTTATCATTACCATTTAGTGGTCCCTCTCAAAGACTAGTTCCATTTTGTGGTAATTATTCTTAGAAAAGTCATAATGATTTTCCTACCAATGTCTCTGAGGAAAGGATCAAAGATCTTGAAGTTAAGGAAAGAGTTATGAATTCACAAACTTTCTTTTTTTTTTTTTTTTTTTGCTGGGGGTGAGGGGCGGTATCGGGGTCAAACTCGGGACTCTGCACTTTGGAGGCAGGTGGTGGAACCACCGAGCTAAATCCTGGCCCACAAACCTTTCTTTTGTATTCAGGTGTTATGGCACTCTAGTGCCCATCTCCTAGGGGCAGCAGCTGAACAATTCTTGGGTGCTCTTCTCTGCCGAGGTCCAAGTACAGAGCATGGCTTTTACCATGATTTCTTCCTGGGAAAGAAGCGGTGAGTCGTGCAGCAAGTAACGAGAATTCATTCTGGGGTGGTCTCTGAGGCTCTTTTCTGGGGCCTCGGGCATGTTTAATTTAAGGCGAAAGCTGGGTGAGGCCTCTTTAGGCCTCATCTGCGGCACTGGTACACTTCTCCATTAGGTCTTGTCCCTCTTCTGACTCTGCTTGAAATTTACCTTTAGTCGTCATGAATTTTCAAATCTTTCTTCATCCCTTCATTACTGTTGTTCCAATATTGTTCATTCAGGGCTGGAGATTTAGCTCAGTGGTGCCACCGCCTACCTCGCAAGCTTAAGGACCCGAGTTTGATCCCTGCTTACAAATACCAAAAAAAATCCCAATATTGTCCATGCAGATTTCCTGCACTCAGCTTTTAACCTCACGCATAATCTAAACATGGTAGTTCATACTTGTAATGGCAGCACTCCAGGGGCTGAGGCGGGAGGATTGCCTTGAATTTGAGGCCAGCCGCTGCATAGCACGTTCAAGGCCAACCTGAGACCCTATTTTTAAAAAAAAAAAAAAGACAAAAAAAACTTCATGAATAGAGGTTTTTCTCCAGCTGTAAAATCCAAACCTTGGGCTAGGGATTTAGCTCACTGGTTCCCGTGCCTGCTTCGCAAGTACAAGGGCCCAAGTTCAATCCCCAGTACCAAAAAAAAAAAAATAAATCCAAATCTTAGGCTAGAGGCATGGCTGGCCCAGTGTTGAAGTACTTGCCTACCCTTGCAAGGCAGAAGGGTTGATCCCCAGCTGTGCGTGCACACAAATCCCTTCCTGATTTCCTGTTTATGTTTTCCTGAGTTTATCAGTCTCTACCACTAACTGTAGGCTCTTTTTCCTTCCAGAACAGTCCAGGGCTCACAGTTACCTATTTTGGAGCAGATTTGCCAGCGGATGGCAGCTGATGCACAGCCCTTCCGGAGGCTGGAGGCTTCCCGGGATCAGCTGCGCCAGCTCTTTAAGGTGGTTACAGTGCAGTTTTAGGAGGCAGACTGGGCTTTGAGGGAGGAGCAGCCCCTTGCCAGGACATTTTTCCGGGAATAAGAACTTGGCTTCCCTCTTGCCATCTGCTTTCTTCCAGGGTAACCCCTTTAAGCTTCGCATGATTGAAGAGAAAGTGACAGGTCCAACAGCCACAGTGTACGGGTGAGCCGGGCCCTGTCAGCCTGAAGAGGAGGCGAGGTGGAGAGACCAGAGCCTCAAGGGAAGGGCGCGGGCGTAACCTCTGTTGCTCCAGGAAAGGAAATGAGAAGAACTGATTTTTATCTGGTGGTGTTCTCTCTCGAGAATAGATCCTTCCACTTTGCCTCCCCCAGTCAGCTAAGATGTGAAAGAGAAAGCTAGACCCGAAGGAATCTGGAAACCACTGACCAGCCTGTGCTTTCTCCCAGCTGTGGCTTGTTGGTTGACCTTTGCCGGGGCCCCCACCTGCGGCACGCTGGACAGATTGGAGTGCTGAAGCTGCTCTCGGTTGGTTGGGACGCTGTCATTAGGTTGAGGCTTCTGTTTTCACGGGTGCTAGTGGGATAATGGGAAGGTGGGAAGGTGATCCTCCTCCCAGAGCTTGCTCTGCTCTCCTGGCTCAGGAGAGAATCCAGGAGAAAGATACTTAGTCCCCCCCACTCTGGAGTCTCCCAATTTGATGACACATACTAGACACCATGCCAGGACCCAGAGCCAATTTAAATTTCGCAGTCTGACGTTAGTGTTAAGAGAGATACACTGTAAAGAGGAAACAAAACAAAAAATAAATAAAAATCAGGCAGGCCAGGGATTTAGCTTCGTGGTGCTGCTCCTGCCTTGCAAACACAAGGTCCTGAGTTTGATCCCCAGTATCCCCCCAAAAATGACAGTATTGGGGAGGCTGAGGCAGGAGGATTTCAAGACCAAGACCAGCCTGAGCTACAAAGTGAGTTTCACACCAACCTGAACTATATACCCTGTCTCAAAAAACAAAAACATTTGCACGCTCTTATTAGTACTATTTACTGTTAAAGAAAAGATGAAGTTTTTAAATTTCGTGTGACCAAGAGCAGGATGCATGGAAGGAAGGGTGACTTTTCTAGGAGTTGTACGGAGCGCTCATCAGTAGAAGGAGAAGGATCTGAGTACTGGGTGCTAGTAGGGCAGTGAGGATGGGGAGAGGAAGAGGTGGCCAGGTGAGTTTAGGCTCGACCAGGATGTGTGCAGGAATGCAGTCCGCACAGCCCAGGCCGTCACTGGCCAGGGGTCCAGAGGAAGGGTGCTCATCCCCACGGTGATGCGCGGGGACTGGCTGGAAGGGTGAGCCTGTGCCGCTGAAGAGGTCAGTGCCTCCATCCCCGTCCCTCCTTTGATTCCCTCCATCTTCCCACAGACCTCCTCAGCCCTGTGGAGGTCTCCAGAGAGTCCAGAGCCGCTGCAGAGAGTGTTGGGGATCTCCTTCCCCACTGCGGGGCTGCTGAGGGCCTGGGAAGCGCAGAGGGAGGAAGCGGAGTCTCGGGATCACAGGCGCATCGGGAAGGTAGGGGGCTGAGGAGGGTGGGTGCGGCAGGCACAGACTCGGCAGCTCTGGGAGTCCTGTGCCGCCTTGCAATGACACCTGCCATTCTGTCCCTAGGAACAGGAGCTCTTCTTTTTCCATGAACTGAGCCCCGGGAGCTGCTTCTTCCTGCCACGTGGGACCAGAGTGTACAATGCCCTGGTGGCCTTCATCAGGGTAAGGGAGACCCAAGTCCAGTGGGAAGGAGACGAGGGAAGCGCTGGGGGCCTAGACACCATGGTGTTTGGACTCAGGGGAAACGGGAAGCGTAAACTGCAGTCCGGTGATCTCTGGCGAGCGGCTGCGGGTGTGCGGTGTGCGGTGTGGAGCGGGAGCAGGACGGGCAGCCGCTGTGGCTGAGGTCTGCAGTCTGGGAGCCCAGGAGAATCGGCCAGCTGCCTCCCTGCCATTTCTCCTGGACGTGACGCTGACCCTCCGTGTCGTACCTCCTCTCCAGGCTGAGTACGCCCGCCGTGGTTTCTCAGAGGTGAAAACACCCACGCTGTTTTCTGTGCGACTGTGGAAACAGTCTGGGCACTGGGAGCACTACAGGGAAGACATATTTGCCCTGCAGCCCCAGGGCTCTGACGGGCCCGCGGGCTCCCAGAGTGACCACCCTGCCGGGCATCCCGTGGAGACACTCGCCCTCAAGCCCATGAACTGCCCTGCACACTGGTGAGCCGGGAGCCAGGGCACTGGGTACTCCCAGGGCTGGGAGACAGGTTGGAAGGAGTAGTGGAGCATCTGACCTGAGTCCAGAATGTGCCCTCTAGCTGAACGAGTGGATTTGGGGAAATCGTTCTACCTCTTGGTCTCAGTCTCCTTCCAAGTAATAACAAGCCCAGCGTGGTGGCACATGGGGGCTGATGTAGGAGGATCGCCATGAGTTCAAGGCCAGCCTGAAGCGCATAGCGAGAAGACCCTGTCTCAAAAACAAACAAACAAAAAATAAAAAGAACTCAAGGCTTGGTACCCGTCACAGAACAGGGGCATGGTACACGGTGGTTGTTACCGTGTGCAGCTGACGAATTAGCTTTTGCCCCAGGCTGGCTCAGACTGTGATGAGGCCTTGGGAGGGCGCCGGGTAGAGAGCGTGGTGACGTGGTGCCGAGAACACGCGGGCGGACTGGGGTGGTGGTCAGGGGCTGGCTGTCCCGTGGCCCTGACCCCTCCCCACCTCAACCTCAGCCTGATGTTCGCCCACCGGCCCAGATCCTGGCGGGAGCTGCCTGTGCGATTAGCCGACTTTGGAGCCCTGCACCGAGCTGAGGCCTCTGGCAGCCTGGGGGGACTGACGCGGCTTCGGCGCTTCCAGCAGGATGACGCTCACATCTTCTGTGCCCCAGAGCAGGTGGCCCCTCCTGGCCCCACCAGAGCATCTCCCGACCCACCTTTAATTCTCTCCGTGAACCCCAACATCGGAGCCTTTCAGTTTGCGCTGTGTGTGCTACAGTTCCCTTCCCTCCGCCTACAGCTGTGTCGCATCCCTGTTTTCGCTGTCTTCCCCCAAGTCACCGTCACTGTGGATCTCCAGCTGACACCCATCTCGCCCTCCCTTATTTCCTGCCCCCAGCTGCAAGCGGAGATCCACGGCTGCCTTGATTTCCTCCGCTCTGTCTATGATGTCCTCGGCTTCTCCTTCCGCCTGTCGCTGTCCACCCGGCCGTCAGGCTTCCTGGGGGAGCCTCACGTTTGGGACCACGCAGAGCAGGTACGGGGCTGGAGGGAGGCAGAGGCAGGTGAACCACTCTGCGGGGTGCGGGGTCTTGCTCCTGAGGTCCCAGGGGACAGATCCCTGTCTTGTCCCGTTCTCGACTAAGGTCCTGCAGCAGGCCTTAGAGGAGTCTGGAAGACCCTGGGCCCTCAAGCCTGGAGATGGTGCCTTCTATGGGCCTAAGGTAAGCTGGGGACCCTGCTTGTAGCATTTATTAGTATTTTGTTTTGTTCTATGAAATATTTAGTATGCACAAAGAAATATCTGAAAGCTGTGTAGGATATACAGAGGGGTGATATATTCCCTGCTGCCATGGAATTTGCCGCCCAGCGAAATCTGTGGGAGGTAAATAGGCCACGTCAACGCCTTGGGTCAGTCTAATTTTAAGTACTAAGGAAGCACAAGTTAGATTGCTCAGGGCACAGGAAGGGCTTTCTGCAAGAATCACTGTCTAGCTGGGCCTGGTGGCACACACCTGTAATCCCAGCCCTGGGAAGGCTGAGGCAGGAGGATCGCTGTGAACTTGTGGTTAGCCTGGGCTACACAGTGAGTTCAAGGCCAATTTGGAATGTATACTACCTCAGAAAAACACCACCACCAAAAAGCAAGAGTCACACTTCAGTCCAGAGCTATCATTGTTGCCCAGGTAAAGACTGTTTTAGGGCCAGGGATTTAGCTCAGTGGTTCCGCCATCTGCCTCACCAAGCACAAGGTCCCGAGTTCGATCCCCAGTACCAAAAAAAGCAAAAAAGACTGTTTTGGCGGGGAACAGTGTAGGTGGAGGCTGAGGTAGGGGCGAAAACTGACAAGGTAAGTTGGAAGAAGTGACAGAAGTTGGTGAGCGGCCGGTAGCCAGGCGTGGGGACACACACCTGCAATTCCAGCACTGTGGCAGGCGAGGCAGGAGGATCCAAGTTCAAGCCCAGCCTAGACAATTTAGCTACTTAGTGGGCACAGAAAGGGAAAGGACTGATAAGTGCCTGCTGGATTCAGTAAAAAGGCTATTAACAGCCCAGTGTGGTAACTCACACCTGTAGTCTCTGCTACTCCAGAGGCTGAGGCAGGAGGATCACTTGAATCCAAGAGTTTGAAGCCAGCCTGGGAAAACAGTGAGACTCTGTCTCCAAAAACAGGAAACAAAACAAAACAAAAAACCGAGAGGACCGGGAATTTAGCTCAATGGTTCCACCACCTGCCTCGAAAGTGCAAGGCCCTGAGTTTGATGCCTGGTTCCAAAAAAAGGGGGTGGGGAGCTGGAGATGTAGCTCAGTGACAGAGCCCTTGCCTGGCATAGGAAAGACACTAGCTGGGCATGGTGGCACACGCCTGTAATCCCAGCACCTGGGAGGCTAACGCAGGAGGAAAAGAGCTGCAGAAGTGTGACAGCCCTGGGTTCAAAACCCGGTACAAAAAAACCTCTTTGTGTTACTAAGAAAACAATTCAGAAAGGCTCGATAGCGCACTTGAAGCTACAGAGGTAACGATGATCAGTGGTGAAGTCTGCATTATGTTTAGTCGGTCTCGTAAATCGTTTACCAAGACACTGTTATAAAAATAGAGAAAGGGGCTTGGCAGTCCCTGAGGAAAACATGGCTTAGGGCAGGCACAGCACAGGACCAGCTGGTCCCCGCACAGTGACTTCCGCAGTGGCGCCATGTGTTTTGGCATCGGGTGGCAGGTGACAGGGTGGGCAGCACCGCATTTCTGTCCGGCCCAGCAGGGAGGCGGCGGTGCTGCCCGCATGGGGTTTGGCCGCACAGATGTGACCGAAGAGCGGTGCGTGGCACGGGGGAACTGGGCAGTTACCGCCGCGTGGGCGGGGAGACGACGGGGTGCCCATGGATGAGGAGAGAGGCGTTGAGGGGAGTGACTGTCACCCAGGAGAGCGAGGAGCGCGAGTTCGAGTGGGTGTTGATGGGCTGTTTGGGCAGGGCGGCGGCCGTGAGCGTGGGGAGCACGGGGACTGGGCAGCCAGGGTGGCCGACTCGGCGTGGAGCAAGCACCCCGGGGCTGCGTGGTGGGACGGGGGTGGGGGCGCTGGGTCTGGGCTCTCTCCCGCCCCCCTTTCTCCTGCAGATTGATGTGCACCTCCAGGATGCCCTGGGCCGGCCCCATCAGTGTGGGACGATCCAGCTGGACTTCCAGCTACCCCTGAGATTCAACCTCCAGTACAAGGGGTACAGAACCTCCGTCCCCTTTCCCTTGACAGCCCGCGGGGTGAGCACGTGACCCTTACGTGTGCCCTAGGTGCCTAGCGGAGTCCTCCACACCCTCCCTTTTACGGCTGAATGTTTCTTGAAAACTCGGTGATCCTGGGTGCGCAGTCTGTGACGTTCCGCCGTCCCACCCACTTGCTCTTTTCCGCTTCCCAGGCAGGCGGGGTCCCTGGAGCGCCCAGTCCTCATCCACCGGGCCGTGCTCGGGTCCGTGGAGAGGCTGCTGGCGGTGCTGGCCGAGAGCTGTGGAGGGCAATGGTGAGACCCCACTGCGCCCGTCTGCTCAGGTTCTGTCCCCTTCGTGTGTGCTCCTCGGATCTCTCCGCGGAGCCGCACCCGCGCCCGCTGCCAGCATGAGCAGTGAGTAACGTGTTGCCCTGTTCCCTCCCAACCAGGCCCCTGTGGCTGTCCCCATTCCAGGTGGCTGTCATCCCTGTGGGGACGGAGCAAGAGGGATACGCCCGGGAGGTGAGGGGCTGGGCTGGGCAGAACAGCGACGGCAGTTGTGGTGCCCAGCACGGGGTGGGATGAGGCTGGGGTCACAGCCCTTGCAGCCACAGCCTGGGCTTGAGTGGCCGCTGTCCTGTACGCAGAAACTGGAGAGTGGTGCCCACCTGTGATCCGGCACCCGGGGAGGCTGAGGCCGAGTCCCACCCAGGCATCTCGGTTTTAAAAAGGGCTGAGGTTGAAGCTCAGCGCAGTAGCCCTGGGTTTGATCCCCAGTACTGCCCCCCAGAAAGATTAATTTCTGTCTTGTAGGTGTGTGTAAAAATTAAACAGATTAACAACTAATGTCCAAAAGAGGGCTTGAGTAAATGTTGGCTTCGTTTTCGCTTCTCTTGTTTGCATGTGGGGTGGTGAGATCGGGTCTCACTGTCACGTCAAGCTGGCCTCGGGCTCTGAGGGCTCCGAGGGCTGGGATGACGGGCGTGTGCCGCCATGCCCAGCTGGCTCCTTTCTGAAGACAGTGGAGATCAGATGGAGCCAGAGTTGAGCAGGGCGCCTCTTCAGTAGGAGGCAGAGCGGAGAGGTGTGGGCTGGGGAGAAGCCTCAGAGCGGAGCTGACAGGGGGCCACTGGGAAGGGGGCGCCCTGGGTGGGGTGGGGTGAGGGCCAGAGCGGCCCGACCTTCTACCCCCCAGCCTCCTGCTCACTTCTTATCACCAGATACACCAGAGCCTGCAGGCTGCAGGGCTGGCCAGCGACCTGGACGCTGACCCGGGACTGACTCTCAGCCGGAAAGTCCGCCGGGCCCAGCTCGCTCACTACAATTTCCAGTTTGGTAAGAGGGGTCCGCCCGGCACCGCAGAGCGCCCCGATTCTCCCACCTGCCCCTGCACCTCCGCTCCATCTGCCGAGCTCACGCTGCTCACGATAGTCTCCCTCCTGTTACCCGCCCTGTGGAGTTTCTGCTTAATTAGCCAAGCGAGCATCAGAGAGAAAGGGACGGAAGGGTTAAGTCATTAATTAGCCTGTTTGCACTGCCTGGATAAAGTCAGCCCCGAGGGATGAGGGCAAAGGCCTTAAGGAGAAAAGTTTGACACAGCCTTGCTCCTTTTTTCAGACTAGGGATTGAGCCCTGAGTGGTAGGCAAGTGCTCCCAGCCTGTTTTGACACAGGGTCTGGCTGGATTTCTCAGGTGACCTTCAGCTTGCAGTCCTCCTGAGTAGCCGGGGTCCCAAGAGTGCACCACCACGCCCGGCTGAGCTCAGAGCTCTTGAAGGCAGGGAGCAGGCGCCTCGGCCGGCCTGCCTGAGCCTAGCTTTACACCACTCGCCCTGCCCGCACCTAGCACACACTGTCCCAGCGTCCACGGCTTGCACATATGCGCGCCATCCCTGCAGTCTTCCCCTTCCTCTGCTGCCCCTCCCCAGTTACATGCAGTTCCTCTTTTGTCTCATTCTTGATCTTGTCATTCTCTGACCAACTCATATCTCTACCCCTGGGCTCCTGACCGGAAGCGATACGGTGTGGAGAGCCTGGAACGTTTCCTTACCGCTTGGGATGAGCAGTGAACTGGAGGGCAGGCATGGCCAGGCGTGGCCCCTTGAGTCCGCGTCCACCTCTGCTCCCGCACTTCCCAAAGATTTGGATATTTTCACTTTCTGCGGAGAGAAAGGAAATGGCCCCTGGGCTGAATTTGCCCTGAGATTCCTGAACCCCGTTTCCTCTTCCGTAGTGGTTGGGCAGAAAGAACAGAGTAACAGAACAGTGAACGTTCGCACTCGAGATAACCGCCGGCTTGGGGAGTGGGACCTGACCGCAGCCGTGCAGCGGCTGTTGGAGCTGCAGAGCGCCAGGGTCTCCAACGCCGAGGAAGTCTTCTGAGCCTGTGCTCATAGACGAGACATCTGTGAGAGCCATCGGCTTCTCCTGACCCATCCAGTGACAGTCCGCAGCCCTCAGAACTGCGTGCTTGTGCCCCCTGAAGAGACAGTTTCGGGCCTACCGTGGGTAGGAAATTAGGTTTGGATTGTGAAGAGAGTAAAATGAAAAAAATAAACTTGAAGCTGCGGGATGTGTGTCTTCGTATCTGACTCCTGAGAGGCGGGTAAAAGGGAAGGACCGCTGTCTCTCTCTCTGTTTTTTACTTTTTAGTTTGTTGTTTGAGTTAGTGTCTTGCTGCATGTTCCAGACTGGCCTCACTCCCCACTCCATGGTCCTCTGGCCCGCACCTCCAAGTGCTAAGGTTACAGCCATGTGCCCGGCTCCGTCCCTCCGTGCCCACAGTTAGGCCTGTTGCTGAGACAGTGGTCCTGTTTCCCACTCCTTACTCCTCAGTACCCTGTTCCCCAAACCAGTTCAGTGGGTTGTCCGGCCCCTTTTACACAGAAGGCAGCGTGCAGAGTGAGGTGCGAGTTTAGGAGCTCGAAGGTCCCTTGCCCCATGACTGTGTGAGTCAGTTTCTCCTGGGGTCATACAAATACTCCCTTCCCATTGCCTCCTCCTCAATCCTCGGAGGAGTGGCTGCTAGAGGAGGGACAGCTAGGAGTGAGTCACGGCAGGAAGCTGAAGAAGACAGCGTATAAAAGAGCCGGCCCTGGGGTTCACAACAGCAGCACCGGCCACCGGAGGAGCAGGCTTCCAGGAGTCTGGCCCTTCACATCCAGGTCTGCCTGCCTGAGACAAGTCAGCTTTTGGGCGGCCCCGCAATGGGGGTCCTGTCCCGAGCAGCCGTGCTCTTGGCCTGTTTTGCCGTTGCTTCCGCCGCCTTTGAGGGAGGTGAGTCGGGGTGGGGCCTGGCTCCTCATCGCAGTGACTTGGCCTCCCCTTTTCTGAGCCCCCAAGGGGCTTGAGGCACTGGAGCATTTAGGAGGGAGGTGGGAGAAGAAAGGGTTCCTAGAGATGGCTACTGAGAAACTCGAAATCAGACTGCACAACCGGAGAGGTGAACACGATAAGGCACCTCTGCCTAAGGGAGACAGGCGAGGGTGAGGGCGAGGCAGCCCCCACTCAAACCCGTTTCCTGAGCAGGGCATGAAGGCACACACCTGTCATCGCAGCACTCAGGAGGCCGAGGCAGGAGGATTGCCGCAAGTCTGAGGCCAGACTAGGCTACAGAATGAGTTCAAGGCCAAAATGAACTGTATATAGTGAGACCCTGTCCCGGAAACATAAAAGGATTAGTTTGCTGAGTCAGGGAGGCTCGACCGAGCCAGTTCGGGTTAGAGGAAGAGCTAAGGGGGAGCCTATCCACAGACTCGCCCTCCGGATCAGTTACACACTCCATAGGCTTTGATGCCTGAACAAAACAAACTCCAGAAAGAGATTTGAGAGAATAGCAGCAGATAAGAGTCTCCACCAAGGGAAAACCCTACCTCATCTCCCCTCCTATTCCTGTTCCTTTGCCCTTGCAGATCAGCTACAGGCAATTGCTTTCCTCTGCTTGTCTCAGTCCCCCGTTCCTAATGGAGAACTCAGCCTAGGAGAAGCTAGACCAGCTTCAGGGACTCCCTGACGCTTCAGTCTGGGGTCCTATCAAAAGGGCGCGGACTAGGACTAGGGGTGGAGGAGATGGGCAAGTGCGGCCCAGGCCAGCTGACGTCAGACTGCTCAAAGCTGAGAAGCATCACAGCAGAGCAGCTCCCGGAGGACAGCACAAGCCCACAGAGAGCTGCTGGCAGGAAGTCCGTCCTGTGTCCTTCACCCGGGTCATTCTTTAGGTCCAGATCCCAGTCAGTCACATGCAGGGTTCACAGAGCAGGCGCAGTCTAGGCATGGTTCCCATGTCTTGCTTGGTTTCCTACCAACCTCTACAGCGCACCATCCTTTGCTAAGGGCCAGGAAAGAGTCCCTCAAAACTCCGCCTGACTTGTCCTTTCTCCCTCCCAGGCTTCAAGCCTGCAGGACAGAGGGAACTGAGGCCAGTGCATTTCACTCAGCGCTTCGAAGAAGGTAAGAGCCAGGCACTGCGGTGCCTTCCTGTCATCTCGGCTACTCTGGAGGCTGAGGCAGGACAATCAAAAGTGTGAGGGCAAATAAGAATCAACATAGATTATGTAATGTTATCTCCAAAGATTAATGTCGTTAAACTATTTACCTAAAAGGCACCAATAAAATTATTAAAATTTTTTAATTAAAAAGAACAAAAACAAGGGTGAGGCCTGCCTGGGTAACTTAGTTAGACCTTGTCTTGAAGTAAAGGAGGAAAAAGGCCTGGGATGTAGCTCAGTGCCGCAGCACTTGCCTAATTGTGAGGACCAGGGTCCATCCCCAGCACCACCACTAGAGAGGAAAGATAAGGGTTTAGGGGAGCGCCTTCCTCTCTTCCAGGAATTTGCCAAACGATGACCACAAAGGGAGAGAGGAGGGAGGCTGGTGTGTGTTCTCCAGGCCTTTTAGAGAACATGAGGTTGTGCCTTTGGCAATCTACAAAAAGGGGGATATTGTAGACATCAAGGAAATGGCGACTGCTCAAAAGGGCACCGCACACAGGTTACCGAGGCAAGTCTGGAAGTCTCTGGTGCTCCCAGCGTGCTGTTGGCATCATAAACAAGCGTGTGAAGGGCAAGATGCTTGCCCGGAGGACTAATGCGCGTATTGAGCATATTAAACACTCGAAGAGCCGAGGTAGCTTCCTGAAACGAGTCAAGGAAAATGATCCGAAAAAGAAGAAAGCCGAAGAGAAAGAGGCCTGGGTTCCGCCAAGCGCTGGCCCGGCCCGCCCGAGCAGCGCACTTCCTGAGAACCGGTGGGAAGGAGGCTGAGTCCCTGGAACGCATTCGCTATGGGTTCATGGCGTGAGCTGACGCGTGGCTCTGCCATGCAGCTCCTAATTAGTGGCTGAGTGCTCTCAGCCCGACTTAAAACATAAAAAATCAGCCTGTGCTGTAAGGATGGTTTTCTTCATTGAACAGGTGTGTGGGGCCTTTACCTCAGAGGAACACTATTGGGAGCAGATTCGCATCACACCCAGTTAATGGTGTCAGGGCCTTTACTCTTCAGGGTTTCTCTTGCTGAAAGATTGAGGCACTGTGCAGATGTGCACCCTAATGGCCACATATTTTTGGAATATTTATTTGGGCTTGAAAATCCTCTAAATCACCTTGGGGACGAGATGTATCAAAATAAATGGTAGTCAGTATATGGCACTTCAGTTCAATAAATGGTTTAAAGCACGGTAAAAAAAGAGTTTAGGGGAGCAAACTGGGAGTGGGAGTCCGGAGGGGCTGCAGGCTCTCTCCTCCTGTCTCCAGTGGGCTATGCAGCACCCCCAGCCCCGCCCCGGCCCCGAGGCTTCCCCATGGCTCACCTGGACGCTGCTCAGCATGACCCTCACTTTGAGGGACAGGCGGAAGGTAAGGCCACCGCTGCCTCTCCGGCTGTAAGGGAGGACTTCGGGCCTTTCAGAGGGGCCAACTCACCCAGTCTCCCTGCAGTGCAGGAAGAGCTGCCCTCGCCCAGCGTGCAGGCCCTGCCGGCCCCGCCAGCGGCTGGGCCCGGTGTGATCTGCACCTCTGTGTCTTCGCCCTGTCCCGCAGTGAATGTGCCCCCTGACCTCCAGGAAGTGACCCCCCTGCAGGAAGAGCTGCCCCCTCCCCGGCGCCTGGCTGCAAAGAAAGGTGAGCGCAGTCCTTCCCACCTGCGGCCCCTGCGGCCCAGAGCTCCAGCTCACTGACTCTGTCTCACCCGCCCCTCTGTGTCCTCACCCCTCCTTCGTCTTGCAGCGGACTCCCCTGTCCCGCAGGAAGAGATCCCCGTCCAGGAAGAGGTGCCCTCTCCCTGGCACCGTACTGAACGGAGAGAAAGTAAGCAACACCCTCTCCTCCCTAGGCCCCTTCACCCCTCGAACCCGAGGCAGAGGAGACCGTGGCCCTGCCGCTTCCTAGCCGTGCCGCCTCTGAGGGGTGATCACCAAGCCTTAGTTTTTCATGTGTAAAACTGAAACCTAATACCTGTTTGACGGTGTGTGATTCAGCGACAGGTGGCCCTTATGTTCGCCTGCCTGTCTACTGAGTCCCTCTTTGTGACGGGGACTAGTCGGTCCGTGCCTGTCACCCACCCAACACAATGTTTGCTTACGTTTCTCCTACCCCAGTGGGCTCACCCCTTACACACCAGGAGGAGATCGTGCGGTCCAGGCAGACGGAGGGTGAGTGACAGCGCGTCCCTCCATGCCCTGCCCGGGTGGTCAGGCCCCTGGGCCTTAGGAAGTGGCACAGCAGCAGGGATTTGGAAGCGAGGGTCGGCTCCCAGGTGACGCTTTCGTGCCGCGCTCTCGTCCTTTCTAGTCAGTTATTTCCAAGGTAAGAACCACAGATTCATCTTTCGCTGGTTTCCCCTATGTCCTGCTAAGCCTCTCTCCACCCAGTTCTTTCGATCCTCCCTGCTTGTCCAGCCTTTGTCGGCTCGGCTCCTCCACATCCGCACCTCCCTGTTTTCCCCCTTCCAGAAAAGCCGGGTCCCCTCACTGGTCGGGGCCCTGTGGATCCGCAGTCCTGGAACTCAGCCCAGCACTGCCAACAAGGCCGGTTCCGAGGGGGCTGGGGCCACCGGCTGGACGGCTTCCCCCCGGGGCGGCCCTCTGAAGCCAATCTGAAGCAGATCTGCCTCCCGGACCGGCAACGCGTGGTATACGGCCCTTGGAACCTGCCCCAGTCCGGCTACTCGCACCTCAGCCGCCAGGGAGAGACCCTCAATCTCCTGGAGACCGGCTACACGCGATGCTGCCGCTGCCGGGCCACCGCGCAGCGCCTGGAGTGCGCGACACTTGTGGTAAGGGCTGGCACCCTGGTGCCCGGGCGGACGCCAGTGCGTGGGGGAGCAGCGGGCGGCGGCTGCTCTCTTACCTAGCGGCCAGGGCTCCTCTCCTCTCCCGGACCCCGGAGGAAGGCGGGGATGTGGTCAGGGCGCTTCCGGGCTGACCCATCCGTCTCGCTCCAGTGGGAGGACTCGATGACCCGGTACTGTGAGGCCGAGTTCTCGGTCAAGACCCGACCGCACTCGTGCTGCAAGCGGCAGGGGGAGGCCCGGTTCTCCTGCTTCGAGGAGGGAGCCCCTCAGCCCCACTACCAGCCCCCCGCCTGCCCCAGCCACCAGCCTGCCCTGTCCGTGGGCCTGGAGGTGCCCTTTCCCCCTGGCCTGCCCACCCTGGACAATGTCAAGAACATCTGCCAGCTGAGACGCTTGCGCTCTGTGCCACGTAACCTCCCGGCCACTGACCCCATCCAGAGGCGGCTGCGCGCTCTGACGCAGCTGGAGGCTGAGTTCCAGCACTGCTGCCTCCAGGGCAACAACCATACCTGTGCTCGGAAGGCCGTAAGTGGGCGCCCCGCCTGCCCGTCCCCAACCTGAGTCCTCTGACGCGTCCGTCCACCTGCCTCCCTGCTGTGAGCCTGTCCACGTCCATCCGTCCGTCCGTCCGTCCGTCCGTGTGTCCGTCATGAGTCTGTGCATCCCACGCCTTCACACGACAGCCCCGGCCTCGTCCCCGCATGACCCCACGACCACCACACCGCTCTGCCTCGCCCGTCCCTCGCCACCCACTGTTCCTGCGTCCCCGTGGCCAGCCCGAAACCTCATCGTGCTTCCTCCCGTCCACCTCTCCGATCCCACGTGTCCGTGGCTGCCCCCTTGTCCCCGGCTCTTCACTTCCCTCCGGCCGAGGCTGGAGCGCCTCCTCTGGAGCGGGGTGACGAGGGAAGCAGACGGTGAGGTGTGATGCGGCCGAGCGCAGGCCCTGACTCCCTGTCTCTCGCCGCAGTGGGAGGACACCCTGGACGGCTACTGTGAGCGGGAGCAGGCCATAAAGACCCACCAGCACTCGTGCTGCCACCACCCGCCCAGCCCCACCCGGGACGAGTGCTTTGCCCGGCGGGCTCCCTACCCCAACTATGACCGGGACGTCTTGACCCTGGACCTCAGCCGAGTCACCCCCAACCTCATGGGCCATCTCTGTGGAGACCGAAAAGTTATCACCAAGCAGTGAGTCTTGCCCGGTCTTCCCCAGCGCGCTTCCCTTCCAGTACCACCCTGCTGGGAGCAAAGCCACCGTCCCCTGCACCGTTCTGATGCGGGGCGGGGGGCGGATTTTCAAAGTCCCTGACCCCTGCCTCTTTCATCACAACATAGCAAACAGATTCTTGGGCTGATCTGGAACATGACCGCCCGCTGCTGTGAGCTGTCGTTTCCGGAGCAGGCCTGCTGTGCTGAGGAGGAGGTGAGTATGGAGAAGGGTCCTGGTCCCCCAGGTATGCGGGGGAGACGGGCAGAGGGCCCCTTCCCTGTGGCTCTGGAAGGATCAGTTTCTTTGGTTCCAGAAGTATTCATTCCTGACCTGGCCCGCCCCCGCTTCCTAAGTTCCAAGTATGCCTTCTCCGGGTGTCAAGCTTCTGGCATTTCCAGATGTGCACATCTGTCAGTCACAAGGAATCCAGCTGTGAAGTCAGCGCTGCACTCCCAGGGCCCCAGGAAGGGACCCAGGGGAGAGCAGTGAGCAGTAACAACTGACGGAGAGAGGACACCGGGCAGCAGGGGCTCGGTGCCTGACTTCCGACCGCCACCCCGACATCTCTGCCTTCCTCTTCCCCACCAGAAATCAGCCTTCGTGGAAGAGCTCTGTGGTCCCCGACGGTACTTCTGGAGAGACTCTGCCTTCTGCTGTGACCTGGGGCCCGGGGATGAACAGACCAACTGCTTCAACATCAATTATCTGAGGAACGTGGCGCTAGTGGCTGGAGACACTGGGGAAGCCAGGGGAGAGCAGGGCCCAACTGTGGGAACCAGTGTCAGCCCTGCCCCCGAGTCCAGGGGAAAATGAGTCACCGCAGAGCCTTGGAGGACCGACGGGGAGCCCCACCCCACCCCACCCTCCTTGAACTTATTACAGTAAACACCTCCTGGATCTGCCGACCTCATTGTCTGTCACACACAAACTCGGCCTCTCAGCCTCCTGGGTCTCCCAGGCCCTGCCCCCAGCCCAGGCCCGTTCCCCAAGGAAGCACAGTGCCTTCCTGAACCGTCCTGCACCTGTTCACATGTCACAAGAAGTGTCCCGCTGGTGAAAAAATATACCATTTGTATCTTAGAGGAGCCCCCAAATGCCACAGCCCTGTGTGATATTTTCTTTCTTCTGCAGTCCTAGTGATCACACCTAGGGTCAAACGAATGCTAAGCACTCAGCGCCACAGAGCTACATCCCCAGCCTGGCCTGTTTTGTTTATTTATTTATTTATTTATTTATTTATTTTTTATTGGTATTGGGGATCGAACTCAGAACCTCTCACTTTCGAGGCAGGCAGCGGCATTATTCTTTATTGTTTTGAGACAAGGTCTTGCTATGTACCCGAGGCTGGCCTCAAGCTCACCGCCATCCTCCTGTCTCAGCCTCTGAGCACTGGGTCACAGGCCTGCCTACCACGCCCGGTACCAACCCTGCTTTTAAGATCTGCCCTTTAGATCCTCGGAGCACAGCCGCTGACTCTCAGCATCCATTTCTTGACCGTCTACGCAATGCATACTGTGCAAGACTTATGGGCTACGTGTCTTGAAAACACACGGCCCTGCCTTGACGTTAGTCACGGTCCAGACCGTGACAAGGGTGATGTGATCGGCGCTGAGGTATGGGGTGGCTCAGATGCCAGCGGCCCGCGCAGGCCAGGCCGGGACGCGGCCGGGATGCACTGAGCGAGCAGGAGGGGCGGAGGGAGGCGGCGCAGCTGCCAGGGCCGCAGGCTTCCCCTCGGGTGTGGCCAGTGCTAAGCAGCCAAGGATGTGCTGCAGTTTGCTGCTCAGAGCGTCTGTCGGCAGCCAGCCCTCACCCATGGGCACCTCACCCGTGACCGGGGAGGGGGCCTGAGCCAGAGGGCGGTGGGGACGGGCGCTCGAGCCCTGCGAAGCCACCCGGGGACCTGGAGCCTCCAACGGGGCCGGCAGAACCGGAGCGAAGACTCCGCTGGAGGGTCTGTGACTCTCCTCCAGGCCGCCTTTGCAGAGAAACTTCCCGGCCCCATGTGGAGGGCAGAGGGAGAAGCCAGCCAAGGCCAAGCTGAGCCTCAAGCAGTCCCAAGCACGCC